CAACGCCAGAGGCGGGCTACAAAAGTTGGCCCCGGGGCCACCCAGCACCTGCCCACGTGCCGCGGAGGCTCGCTCCCGGGTCTTCCCCGTCCCCTTCCCCCCCGCCGCCCTCAGCCGCCAGGTCACCTATTACCGGTGGGAGGGGAGAGAGGCTATTTAAACGCCCGCGGAAGTTGAGGCACCCCCACTGGCGGGTGCCGTGCACCTGCCTCCCGCCGCCGCGCTCCGCCACTTTGAGCAGCAGCCGCGTCCTCGGCCCCGCCTCCTGCCCGCAGGCGGGCGGGGGGAGCGGGAAGGAGGTGGAAGGGATCGAATTTCTCCAGCAAATGGGACCGTTCCGACAGGATTCGGTTCCCCGGTCAACATTCCACATTCCATCCCTCTCCCGCATTTGCAAGCCAGCGCCAACAACCCGGAAAGCCTGCTGGCTCTGGCTCCCGAACAACAGCCCCCAACTCACAAACACACGCTCACAGGCACAACACACGTGCACTAAAGGGCTCTGCAACTTGCAGTCCCGGGGTACACGCTGCACGTTCATTTAAGACAGCGAAGACCAAGCGACCCCACCCCCACAATTTGCAGATGGTGGCAAAGGTTGCAATTTGCAATCCGTTTTAAGTTCATGGTTAATCGGTACTTTGCTCTACCAATGCAACTCCTTCCTAATTTCACCGATGACGGGTTTTACACTTTACAGGCAGTCTCGCTGTAAGTAAAAGGTCTGATCAGTGGAAACCCAATTTGGAAGACTCTAATTGCCAAGCTGTCCCTCCACCCCCTGCTCACTGCCCTTGAATTGATGCAATGGATATTTTGGACGTGTGGTGACGCGGTGACAAGAACCAGGGCTGCGGCCACCCTACACAAATGTACCTACACACACACACACACACACACACACACCTATGTTTAGACAAATATAGTCGTCCTCCCGATCCACGGTCACAACACACTCTGGATTCATATATGTATGCGAACCTGCATTCTGCCATTGCCATCTGTCTACCAAGTTGCTACTATGCTTTCCACTTTCATGCAGCCTAATGCACTTTGGGGTTTTTTTTTTAATTCTATAAACTAAAGCCAACTAAACTCGGCGTCTGCTCCTGAATGCGTTTAATCGATGCTTCACCTGAAAACCGCATGTTCTTCGCAAATCCAGAAGAAAAAGCTCTGAGTCTTCAGCCCCCCAAAATTGAAAAATCGTAATAAAACTTACTGATCCAACATAAATCAATTCTCAGGCTCCAAAAACCATCCTCTCCTCCTCCTCCTCCTCTGGCCCCCGCCCCGGCAATGCCCAAGTTACTGGTGGGATAGTAAGGCTGCGCTCGGCGGCTGCCTGCCCTCCCTCCTCGCTACAAATCGAGAACCCAATCTTTTGGCGCCATATTAATGACGTACTATATTATTTCCACTAGGCAGCGACCTTCGGCATTAAATTACTCCCGAGAACTCCCGAGCAAAGCAACAAAACCATCAAATATGGCTGAGCCTCTCGGCTCGTCCTGCAGCAGCCGCCGCCGCCGCC